AGCTATAACATGAACTCAATAGTTATTTCAAGGCTATCTCTACCAAATTCGGCTTGGGTATTAATGGGTTAATAAAGGCTTATAGATGTGACTAAGATATTGTATATCCTCTTTTCTATTTAACGTGTTTTTATGTAAGCCAATGTGTAACATTTCGGATATTCTTCGTTTCTTATAATTCTTTTCATAATCCAATATCTTAGCTTTTTTTCAGCCAAATTCGTGTGAGAACGTTCTTCTATGTGTAGCTACTACTGTATCTGAATTAATGTTTTATTGTATTCATTTAATCTAATTTTTAAGGAACGCTTACTTTCACCTATATAGACCGCTAAACATTGTTTACGGTTAAAACTGTAGACAATACCAGTGTTGTCTAATAAGAGATGTTCAATTCTTATCATAATAGACTACAATTTACGTTTAAAATTGAAATGAATAATTTTATTCCATTTCTTGACTTAAAATTGATCAGAAATAATAATAAATTAGAATTTGACTGGTTTAGGAAAACAACACAAACTGGCAGAATTTTGAATTTTAACTCAGAACACACAATTCATCAAAAAGTTAATATAGTTTCAAATTTAGTTGACCGAGTGTATTCACTTGCTGACACAAAATTTCATACCAACAATTTAAAAATAATTACTAATATCCTGAAAAAGAATAATTATCCATCTTTATTTATCAAAAACATATACAAAAATGTATCAATAAATACAAAAAAGGGAAGAATAATTCTAAAAAATTAGAAAATCAAAAATTACCTACAGTCGCTATTCCTAATAATTGCAACATCTTCAAAAAATGTTCATCTGTGTTAAAAAAACAATATTATGCTTATCCCTTTATTACAAAAACAATTACAAGAGTTTATCCGTTTAGGAAAAGACAAGTCTGATTTATTAGACAACACTGGTATTGTCTACAGTTTTAACTGCAATCAATATTCAGCGGTCTACATAGGTGGCAGTAAGCGTTCCTTAAAAATTAGATTAAATGAACACAAAAAAAACATTGATTCAGATACAGTAGTAGCTACACATAGAAGAACGTTCTCACATGAATTTGACTGGAAAAAAAGTTAAGATATTGGATTGTGAAAAGAATTATAAGAAACGAAGAATATCCGAAGTGTTACACATTGGCTTACATAAAAACACGTTAAATAGAAAAGAAGATATACAACATCTTAGTCACATCTATAGGCCTTTATTAAGATCGATGAGGAAGGTATAATAGATGAAGGGTATATATATGGGTTGAAATACTTGATTTCTCATTTTATTGTAACTTGACTGTGCTACGATCTATTCGTTTTAGCCAATAATAATTTGACTACAAGAGAAATCATGTATACACATGTACATATAATTTTATACTATTAAAATTACTTTTGCAAACTCTATTGTTGATAATTTGTTGTTTTCTATTAATAAAGCCTGAAGAAGTCAGCAAATGTGCTGACGAAACGTTGCTGAATATAATTAAAATTAAGTGATTTTCCATCTATCACTATTTCCCTTCTTTCCAGCATTATAAAATTTATCGATCAGTTCTAATTTTCGTAAAACTTTATCGAGTTCGTCGCTCGATAGCTTTTTAATCCAGTCCGCAATTCGTTGTTCTACGCTTTCTTTAAAAATCGATAATTCGTCAAAACCGCCTACACTAGTCGCCATCTAAATACCCAAATAAAATTATTTTAATAATAATAATAAAGCTTCACGCGCTAAATTAAGTTTTAGATGCTGAGTGTAATTTAAAATAAATGGAAGAAATAAATAAGATTACTTAGGTGTATGACGAATTATCGCGTTCGATTGCAATATGTAAAACAAATTAGTGAGAAAAACAAACAAAAGATTTGCGTAGAATTATATTATATATATATATAATATATATATATATATATATATATATATATATATAATTGACGATTTCTATTTATTATAATTTTATGCATAAACTATTTCCGACAGAGTATGTAGGCGCTGAGAAATACCACTAATGGCATAAATTACTTTAGCGTTGGTCGTAGCTGACAAGAAAAACACTTGGTTCTTAAAATTCCGTGTTTCTTATCTACAAGAATTGCCATTGGACGTACACCCAACGTGAATTGAATCGCGTAGCATGGATGATATGGGTATGGGTATGATATGGGTATACGTCAACGATAACCATTAGTTCACTTGATCAGTTGTCATATATCAAACCTTCTATTTATTGAGTACAAGTGTGGTTGTACTTCATAAGTGAGGAAAGGATTTTGTCAATCATCTTAGTCTCGAGCAACTTAAAACCAGTTGTGGTACAACCGCACTTGTACTCGATAAATAGAAGATTTGATATATGACAACTCGTTAAGTGAACTAATGGTTATCGTTGACGTATACCCTTATACTGACAATCATTGTAGAAGAATAATCGATTCTTTGGTTGACATTGATTCTTGATTTGCCTGTAAATAACTGTCTGAGATAAATGATCTTTGCTCATTTCACTCCACACATTGTAAACTTGTAAGCCATGATAACTTTGCACTTGGGACACCTTCTTGGTTTAATCAAACACTCACTTTACAATCCTTACATTCACCAATTAACACAGTTTTAGTTTTATTTTTTACTTGTTGGAAAAAAATCTTAAAAAAAGCACATTCTCATTCGCCTGATTATCAGTCCTTTAATTTGCACATATTTATTGCAATTGATCTTCATCGCCATCATCATCACCAACATTTCTATTTCACTTCATCCTGCTGAAATAAAAAATCCTGCAAAAAAAAGAACATTCACAAAGTAACATGTTTTTATTTTCTATTGTAGATAGTAAATAAATAAATAACTAATAACTTATCTAAATGCCAGCATAACGATAAATCCTTGCTGAAGCAAAAGCAGGTAAAAGCATAAGAAACTCGGAAGAAACATTTAAAATAGACATATACACGTGTAAACAGGCTTTTTCAGGTCTGCTATTCGAGCTTTGATTTTGACTGCTACTTTCAATCCGTAACGGTGGTTTTCAGATCGGTCATAGTATAACGCTCGTTCTTAAATTATATAATTAAAACCTAAAATCAAATAATCATTCATCTAAATTCATTGTTCGGCAAACAATTAATTTTAAACCTAAAAACAAATTAGTAACGTTTTAGCTTTTTATCGTATCTTAAAACGAATTTTCATTTTTGAATTTTCCCGCGGTTTCTTCGTTCCGATGCAACGACGGAATTCTCATACCAACCTAACTAGGGGGGTTGCGATTCAATCCACGTTGGGTGTACATAATATAATTCTTGAAATTTTAAATGGCTACAAAATTTTATATATAATTCAAATAAATGAAATTCATATATATTATTTATAAATACTGATTTCATATATATTATTAATAAATTTTCATATAAGTTTAGATGAATTCCATATGAAGTATCAAATAAAGTTATCATGAAATTCATACAATTTTTGTTAGTTAAGTTCTAATAATAATTATCATGATACGCTGAATGTGAGTCAAAATTAAACAAAGGGCTAGATAGTCTAATATTTTTGTTAAAATGAAGTTTATTAGTGAATTATTAAAAAAAGAATTATAAATTCATCGTCACTGGTCCATTCCAGTTTAACTCTATGGTTTTGTTTTATTTCTGAAATCCATGCCACAATTTCAATTATCATCTCTCTATTACTCCATATGCAGTTAAATCTAACTAAAAACCTTCATTATTATCTTTATTGAGGATATTTAAATGTATTAATTTAAAATATTAAAAGATGTCATCATTTTTAAACTATGTCAAAATCGAATAAAAAAATTAAAATTTATGTACAAAAAGGTAAACAGTTAGATACAACTGGTAAACCTCTTTTAGTTTGAAGGCAGTCTGAAACTGTGTGTGTATGTTATATTATATAATGAAAATTACAACTTTAATTGACAATTACATTATTTATTGATTATGTTATTTTAGAATATACTATAAAATATATTAAATATAGAAAACATGAAAATTTATATCTCGATAAAATTACTATGATGATTATGTGATAACAAGGGAACATTCCCACCCCTGTGCCTTGGATTTTGCTGTAATTTGGATATGTTATAGTTTATTGAAAAATAAAAGACACATGTTTTTTTTATTGGTAGAAAAAGCTTTCTAAGGGATGAAAATCACCTTCAAAAATCACCCCTTAGAACAGTTTTCTATCAATATTTATGGTTTTTTGAGGGTGGTTTTTAGCCCTTAGAAAGCTTTTTCCACCAATAAATAAAAAAAACACGTATCTTTTATTTTTCAATAAGCTATAGCATATCCAAATTACAACAAAATTCTAGATGGAGGGTTGATAAAATTGTAAGTCTACCTATATAAGTATTTACAATTTTTCTTTTAAAAATTAAATGACCATGAACTTGATTTTGTGTTTGCTACATGTAAATTGAATTTAATATTGAATTCACTATGTTGATCGCTATATATTAAACAAGGTTCATAACAATTGATCTATGAATTTAATAGATTTTATCTAATTGATAGAATAGAATTTTAATGTATCAGTTCTATTGTATGTTGAACATAGTGTTTATCTTTTTATAGTTTATAAAAAATAAGACGTTTAAGGAAATTTAATCTATTTCAAAAAGTAAAATCTATTTCTGTTAACAGTCAGTGTATTGAGGAAAGCTGAGTGTATTGTTTTAAAAGAATTACTTTATAGAGATTTTCCTGTCAAATTATTATGTGTGTATCATTAAATTAACATTTTCTATAGAGATGTATGGATATAAAAATATTTGAAATATTTTCATGAAATAGTTACAAAAAAATATTAAATATTTCATTTCACAATTGTCATTAGTAAGAAAATACATTAATAATTACGAGGAACGTTTACTATGAACATTATGTTCCACCTATATCTTTCACATCTAAGTAAACTTGTAGTGAATAGTAACTATACTATATTAATTATATTAATACACACCTATTAATTTATCTTTTAATATTGTAATATAAATACAAATTTTCTTTCAATTAAAGGCTGTCATATACAATAACATCTATATATCAACCTTACGAAAATTGAAAAGTATATTAGGCTGTTTACAAGAGCATTTTGACATTATGGTCAAAACACCACTCCCAGATCAACCCAGGAAAATGATCAAAACTTAAAAACAAAAATAGTTTTTAAATGAAATAATTTTCCTCAGTTGCTCTATGTATTTAAAATAATTTGCTCCATTCGTGTACGAACAACAAAAATTGTGCAAGACGAAAAGTTACGTACAAACTTCAGTTAAACCATATAAGTCTGTAAAAAATGAATAGTTTTTAAATAAATAAATTTTTTTAAATTGTTCACGATTCAAATTATTTTTCCTCATATAAAATATGGAAAAAATAAAATAATCGTTATAAAAAACTTGAAATAACTTGATTAACATTCAGTTATAGCGAATTACTCTTTAAGCGTGTGTGTAATAATCTAGGTCGTGTATACATATACAGAGCGATTCAAAAATACTATAGTTCTAGAAAATGGTCTACAAAAAAAAAATTTCCGAATTAGTCCGTTTTCTAAAAATTTTTATCTTTGGTATTTTCCAAGAAAATTAATTTAAAAATGTTAAACTTCTTGCGCGCACGCATACCACGCCACCTTCGCTGAGTTCAACTGCCGCGGAAACTAGCGCGGCATTCCAACAGTGAGCGCCTTTGGTGTTAGAGCTCTCGCAATAATTAGAGGATTACTATTATCATTATTATTAGAACATCATTAGAGTATAACTATTGTAATAGACTTTTAAAATAAAATAACTTTGTATTTTCTATTTTAACCTAAAACTAATAATTAATTCACTTCGATCCAAAATTCCAACAGCTTATCGGCCCTGCAACGCTTCCGCTGCGCAACAAATAAAACTTATAGAGGTATGTCAATTAAATTATTAAAGTGTTACAAAATAAAGAAAATCATTCGCTTAAGCTACATGAGTTCACGACAAAGAACATAACGAAACATTCTCCTTTGTATAGTAGCTGGAAGCTCTACAAACAAAACAAAGTAGAGAAACAATAGTAAAATAGAATTCACACTGCAACGAAAAAGAGAATATAAGCTGCCGGAATCGCGATAGAGATAGAGATAGTAACAGTGAGTCAGCGTTACAGAACAAATAAAAATAATTAGAGAATAAACAGAAAAATGCGGTTTTTCTGTCGCGTTCGTTTTTAAGAAATAAAGTGATAGAGAAAGTGAATAAAATTATACGTCAATTAAATAAGATTAGAAAAATGAAAATTAGATGCATTTCGTGAGTGACACAACATATTTCGCGAATTATAGGTGAATCAAATGTCGATGTCATGTGTGACAGTTGAACAAAGGATTCGACGCCATGACACCCGGCTAAACGTGAGCGAACAAGAAAGAACGCGACAAATATACCATTCCGCGCACGCGCCAAATAGAAAGAGAGAGAGTGCGCGCGCAACGAAACGTTAGAGAAAGGGAAGGAGAAAATATAGAGAGCGCGCACTACTAATGTGTGTTTACAACGGTAATTGTGACACAACCTAAGACTTACAATTCTGGAGCGACTTGTCAGACACAAAGTAGTGACCCAGTATAGGACTGCCTGCACGTATGACATACATGCATTACAATTAAAATAAAAGGGATACTAAATAATGAAATATATATAAACTCAATATCTATACTTCTAAACATAACATTAATATATATAATAATAATATAAACATATATGTACATATAATTATAATTATGAATCTAGTTGAATCTTTTAGCAGAACGATATATTTTTTAGAGATACCTAGAGTCTAAACTAAAAATTATACATATATACTTTTTAATATCTCCTGATAAAGTCCAGGTTGTTGCGCTAAGTACAGTCAACACCTCTCGCGACTTTGACAGTTGGTGGTTGGATGATTGGTTTGATGTTGCAAACTTGAGCGCTCGCCTCTCCCCAGTAATTTGGGTCATGTATGGCCACTAGAAAAGGAGGGATCACGGGAGTAGTATCAGCCGATCAGATAACTAATTGTCGGCTTTCGGACTGTATCTGTTGGATGTACCTGACAGATATAAGCAAGAAACCTATTGATAGCCAGCTTTTTACAAACAATTAGACGAAACATTCGGTCATTCTATTTTAGATGAACAGCGAGGCTAATCGGGAGATGGGGGCGGCAATGGAGAGGGACCGTGTCGTCGATCAAGAATCAGGGGCGAATGATAGAGGTATATAAAAATTAACAAATACTATATGCTTAGAGTTTTAGAACAGCTATCGAACAATCATGGAGAAATAGAGTGCGGATCCGCGATTAATCAGAGTTTTTCTTTAACAAATCAGAGTTAAGCACCGAATGTTTATATGGAGATATTGTTCCTTAGCACCTTCAACTATGGCCAGCGACACCATAATATCCAGTGTCGCGTCATCCGCACCCGATACCGCTACGGACGACCGGGGCCCCGAATTCGTCGTGCCTTCAGGCACCGATCGACACACGGCTGCCAACATTGCAAGGGCAAGAAACCCTCGCATGTTGAATTGTATTATTATCTATTGTGATGGTAATTCTTCTTCTTTTGTAATTTTTCTGTATAATTTAAATATAGACTTAGAATCATAATAATTGCATTTTATATAAATACTAACAACAAAAGCTTCATGCTTTTAAAAGGTTCATCCATTTTACACTGTTTTTAACAAACATTCAAAACCAGCTTATATTGTTATGTCGCGACTACGTAGCCGTGACGTGTAGTTTTAGAATATGTATGATCATTTATTAGAAATTATTATAGTGACAAGAACTTACCTGGGTTATTATTTCGAGTTAAATTGGCTGCTTAGCTCTATCTCGATGAAGTATATATGAGGTCGATCGGTAATGATGCACGAACACTCGATTCAAGTAATTATTTATTTATTCAAAGACAGAAATGATTTCTCAAAAAAATAACAATAGGTAAATTGTACGTTATTCGGCCGTCGCGCTTCGCGAATCAGCTCGTAAGAACTTTAACAAATTTTAATGCTATTGAGTAGTCGCGCGTCGCGAATCCGCTGCCGAAAAGTCGAGTCTCTGTTTTTATATTGACTCTTCAGCCCGTATTAATGTGTTGAGTAATCAAAAAATCAAAATGTCGGGCGCCCCAAATTTTTGGACTACTTATCTTTTAATTTCGCTCAATTTGTATTTCGTAAAAATGCCGTTCGTCGTTTATATATTATTTCGTTTTTAATCGATTGCTGATGAAATCAAAATGAAGAAATATTTACGTCTCAGGACGTAACAATAGTGCCCCTCAGGCCTCCCCAGAGAACTGGTGCAATGAACGCACCACCCAGGGAAGACCTGAACACCCCTTACACCACCCGCCTCGAACAGATAATGGAGTCTGCGGAGAAAGTGGCGGAGCTTCAGGCCAAAGCGTGGCCCCAAATTAATGAGGCAATAAAACAAGCCAGGACAATCCTGGATGCTTCTCTCAAGTCAATGCGACTCGAGATAAGAAGACTCGAAGTAGGGTCGAACTATAAAAATGCAAACACTAACATTAGCGTGATAACCTCTTCGCCACTTTAAAACGGTGGGAATCATCCATTCTCCATCGACAGAATTTTAGACCCTGAAACCAACATAACCTCCAATAACACTAGAGCCCCTGATATAACTGCTAGAGAAAACGAAATGAACCCTGATATTACATATACTGAGGTTAACCGAAATAATCTTACCAGCGACATTAGCAGTCAATTAAATCAAACCTTTGGTGCACTAGCTAAAACAATAGAGAGCACTAATTCTACGTCTAAAGCATCCTTCAAAAGGGATTATATCCTCACATCAAAAGCTAATGTGAATGTATGGTTAGATCGGTTAAACTCAGAACTATCAGCAATAGAATTATTAGATGTGATAGATTCAAACGCTAGACCTAAAAGAATTTTTAATATTAATGAAATTGATAAAAGAAATAGACTGGTTAGAGATATTATAATCAATCATCTAGATGAGAACTGTCACAAGATAATTCTCAATATTAATGATCCCAAAGAAATATTAGCAAAGATTGGAGGGCACAGAAGAATAGAGGCAAACACAGATGATGCTAAAGTGAGGGAAGAGCTGTACAGCATTAAGATCAATAAGCAAGATAAAGTCTCAATATTCTTGGATAAATTTGACTCCATTATTAGAGAGTATGAACTCCGTGATACAGCTATTCCTCTCACTGACGCGGAGAAAACATCTGCCTTTATGAAAGCTGTGAAAGACACGTACCCCCCAATTAGAGAAATGGAAATAATCACTAAATAAACAAAAGGCAGAGAAATGAATATAGAAGAGATGAAAAATTTCATTCGACAGCTGGAAGCTGACTTAAGGAGCTCTGGCATCTCGGAGGGAGCCTCTGCCAATGTCGCGAGAACTGACGCTGCGGCCGCAGCCGGTACTGGTCCCAGCGATGGGGGCAAGTTCTTCAGATGTGATCGACACAATGTTGATCACATCTCGGACTCTTGCCCGCTGATCCAGTATAGGTTTTGGTTCTGCTATATCTGCAGAGATTTCGCGCACCACACGGGCAGAACCTGCCCTCGTGGAGATGGATCCCACCGAGGTGGAGGGTACGTTGCCAATAAAAATAATAATAGAGAGCTGAAAGAATCTAAAGAAAAAGGTACATATAGAGGTAACAGGGGAAATTTCAATAGAGGTAATGGTAATAACAAAAGAGGCAAAGGTTATTGCGAAAACAATAGAGATAACAAAAATCGAAACTCTAGAGGTCGTAACAATGGTAGCGTAGGTAAACGGGGCGCAAGCAGAACTTATTACCCAAGCGGAGACAAAAAGAAACAGAAACTGGCGAACGCTGCAGTCGCACATACTGAAGGTAAGAATAACATTGATAAAGTAAACAATAAGATAACCTTCTTGTTAGATTCCGGAGCGACGGAACATATTACAAATAAAGCGTTCATCTTGCGAAATTTTAAGAGAAACTCAGGAACTTATATTAAGAGTGCGAACAAAAATAAATCGGCTGATATTGAGATAGATGGAAAAG